TACTGTATGGTTGGTATTGATATTTTGTTTTTACATAAGGAAATTAAGACATCAAGAAATACCATAAAATGCCCATCCCTCCCTAATAAGTATTCAAGGCAGAAATAGGCCCCAAATTCTGATTTACCTGGCTTCAGAGTCTCTGACCTTAACTACCACTGGCGTGATCAATAAACTACCAAGCTACTCATTTGTAGACAGAGGTGGTTAAGTCTACTGAGACTCTAGGACAAGAACTCAGTGAGGTGTATTTTTTGGATGAGGCCATCTGTGTCTTTCTGAACTACATTAAGACCTGCAGGTCTTTTAGGAAGCCTGTGGCAATGTGACTGTCTCCAGGGATTGCATTCTTCAGGGGTCCATTAGGTTAACAGAATGGGCAGTAGATGAACCAAAAAGGTTTTTCCCTTTCCAATAGGAAAGTGAAGTCCATTTCTCTACCATTTGAGTCTGAACTTGGCTATGAGACTAGCTTTGTCCACTTGGACCCTGGAAAGCACAAAGCACAGGTTTTTAAAGCTCTTATGCATTGGGGGATGCCCTGTTGCTCTTCTTGGCACCCTGAAACTTCCACTTAAACAAACCAAAGGTAGCCAGCTGCATGGAAAATGAAGCCACATGAAGGAAAACTAATGCACCAGGTCAACAATCTACTCACTGCCAGTCATGCGAGTGATGCCATCCCAGATGATTTAGTTGCCAGTCAACCTACCAGATAATGACTGACATGCACAAGAACCCCTTATACTCTGGCTTTTCCTAGCGCTGGCCCTCAGATACCATTCTCTTTCTTATTCTGAGATCTCACAGGAGGTTATATATGTGGTCCATACACTGAGTATCAGGTAACCTAGAATGGCTTTATGTAATGCTTTGGCAGTTCCCAACAGTCTTGCTGCAAGGTCTGAGAAACAGAACTGATGTTTTTCAACCTCATGAGACCAGGAACCAGAATAATGTCTGCAAATGATCAAAAGTTTCATCCACAAGTGCTGTCATGGGTAAAGGATTTCCAGTGGTAAGTGTCACTTACACTGTCTATTCCTTCTGGCATTAAATGGTTGGGTCAATATCTAGGTTCACAGGACTCTGCGTAGTTCAGAGAGTTCCCTCAATATATCATGATGAAGGACTTGCCTGTAGAAGGATGGGCATTTTATGGTATTTCTTGATGCCTTAATTTCCTTATGCAAAGCTTTACTAATATCTAGAATATATCCTGGCTCAGATTGGACTTGGAATTACAGAGAAAAAGATGGAGCCATTACATTCCTTTTTTATGGACAATGCTGAGCATTTCTGCTTTCATGTATTTGCTGTACGCCATTTCCTCCAAGGTTACACACTTCCTGCATGAGTTTCAGGGGCAACCAAGAAAGAGTCTTACCAGGTGGACAAGCAGGTGTGGCCAGGCCTTTAATCATGCCCAACCATGGGCAGGAAAGGTCAATGGATTGAGTCAACCTGGTTCAGGAGTTTGGACCAATCCATCATCCTCAGTGCCAACTGACCATCTTAGAATGGCATCCACAGATAGAATCATTTCAGGTAGGCTGCCAAATCCCATGCATGCTGGCTGCAGGAAGTACTTCCTGCTCTCCCCATGTTTGAAACAGTTAATGGCTGCATGCCTCCATTCCTACAGAGGGGTCTCATACAACTAATGATGCCTGCACACTCCTAGGGAGGGTTGCCAGGTAGCAGACAGAGAACCTGTTTGTCCTTCAGACATACCTGGTCTGTCCTTGCTGCCTGACCCCAAACGTTCACAGCTATTCTTATCACTGTTTTCATCATCATCAGGTGTTTATATCAACGCTTCCATTATACCAGACATTGCCCTAAGTGGTTTCATAAGTATTTATGCATTTGTCACTCATAACAGTAAGGTAAGGTGGGGACAATTACTTTCCCCATTTTTTCAGCTTTAGAAGCTAATACATAAAAAAAAAATTAAACAATTTGCCGGAATCACACAGGTTTAAAGCTAGGAAAACTGTCTCCACAATTTGTGATTTTAACTGGTACACAATACTGCTTTCTCTAGTTTTTTCTCTGAGGAACCAACTATTCCACACTCTCATACTATGGAATTAGCATACAAATCTTCACCTCCAGGAGTAGGCACAAGTGTTACCCAGCATTCTCTGGGAAAACAAAGCTAATTAGGTAGGTCTAGATAGAGATGGGTAAATTTATCTTATGACCTGGCTCACATGATTACAGACGCTGAGAAATTCTATGATCTGCCATCTGCAAACTGGAGAGCCAAGAGAGCCTGTAGTATAATTTAGTCCACAACTGAGCTCAGAGGCCTGAGAAGTAGAAGAGCCAATGTTACAAGTCCTGGTCCAAGTCTGAAGGCTGCAACCTGAGGGCACCAATACCCACTGGAAGGACATGATGGAAGTCTCTGCTCAAACAGAGAATGAATTTACCCTGCCTTTGACTTTTTGTTATACATAGGCTCTCACTGGACTACATGATGCCTACCATATACAGCATTTCTTCACTTGGTCTACTAATTCAAATACTATTTTTTTCTTGAAACACCCACAGAGACACAGCTGGAAATAATGTTTTATGAGAAATCTGGCCATCTCTTAGTTCAGGCAAGTCTGATGCATGAAATTCACCACAACACATTCACCTTTTTGCAACTTGACACCTATACACTCACTTCTCTTTAAATTTCTAAAGAAAAAAACTAGATCTTGAACAAGTAAAAATACACTAATCTCTTCCCTAAAGAAAAAGTTCTTAATTATTGATTACTTTTCCCCGATATTGTGTAAGCTAAATATCAAGATGTAAAATTAACAAACTTAAATACTGATACATTACATGACAAATATTAAGAGAGGAAGAAAAACAAAGACATATGTATACTGTACATACAAAATTATTTATAAAACTTCAGGAGGAAATACTAATGACAATTATAGTCTTTATTTCCATAACTGGTCACAAAACTACCTTCTTCTACTACCCATTCCGTATTTCCTCTGCCATGAGCAAGCATTGGTTAGCAGTGATTCACATATCGAGGTGACCCAAAACTTCATCTTAACAGGTCTGGCCCATGAAGAGTCCTGACCTGCACTGAATTGCTGTAGTTTTCCACTGACCTTAGTAACAGGTCATTGTAATTCCAAGAGATGCCCTAAGGAATCTCCTGTATTTGAGAGACATTCTCCATTTCCTGCATTGTGAAGTAGTGGTTTATTTGCCTTGGTAATCCATCCAGATCAATCGCCTCACCAAGGCTCATTAGTCCCTTCTTGACTCATGAGCTCAGATGCATGAAGATCCAAAGTGACCTGTGGGCAATCTTAACTTCCACTCAATAAAATCACTCTTACGTTTCCGGGACAGGAATTTCTCCCTCTAACACTAAAACCTCTAGGTCAGTGGAACATAAAGTTATGAGGAAAGGAAACAAAAATGTTTTGCAGGCAAGTGAAATAGTGAGTGCCACTGCTTCATTTCCACCCACGATTCCTGGGCCTGTCAATCCTGCTTGTCAGAGAATCAATGCCATTTCCTGGATGCTAGTTCAGAGGATACATACAGCCTCCTGGAGAACCTTGCTTCATTTCCAAATGCCCCAGAAGTAATTCAGAAAACAAATTCTTGAAATTCTGTCCCTAGAGAGAATTACTGTTGTACCAAAGATTCCTGCTTTAGACCATTTGGGCTCTTATAACAAAATGTTGAAAGGTGCATGGCTTTTAAATAACAGAAATTTATTCCTTACAGTTCTAGAAGTTGAGAGGTTCACGATTAAGAGACTAGAAGACTCAGTGTATGGTGAAGACCCATTTCCTCACCCACAATTGTTATCTTGGTATAACTTCACATGGTGGAAGTGGTGAGGAGTCTCTTTTTATAAGGACACTAATCCCATTCATGAAGCTCCTCCCTTATGAGCTGACCACATCCCAGTGTCCCATCTCCTCATACTACATCTTGAAGTTAAGAGTTTAAAATATGACAGGGAGGGGAGGACACAAAACTTTCAGACTCTAGAAGAACATGAATGAGAACAGAATGTTTTTTTTTTAGATCAGCCAGATTAAGTTTTATCAGTTAGGACTCATGTTACCAGCATAACCCATCTCTCTAGTCACTGTGACCTTGGCTCAAGAAGACCTTAGGTCTTTTCACTAAGGGTACCTCAGCCATCATACCCCTCTGGAAAATGAAACTAACACAGAGGAGGGCTGCACCAAGAAATGCAGAGGGGAGATCCTGAGGACATTATTTTAAAACTTGGATTTATTATACCTGGGTCTATCCTTGAATTTTTCAATTTCAGACACCAGAAATTTCCCTTCCCATATATTCCAATTTGAAATCCGTTTTTGTCTTAGCAACTGAAAAAAGTGACACATAAAGACAGAACCTAGGAAATATCATCTTTCTGGCTGTACTTGAGAACCAAATCTTGATCTGCAAAAGCATTCAGAGGCGCCTGAGGGAACAGTTTCCAAGAACACTTCCCTGCCTGTTTCTTGAGGATGAGAGGAGGAACTTTACTAAAAGGACTAAAGCATAGGATCAGAAAAAACACAGCAAATGATCCCAACCCTCATCTCAGCCAAAAGACCTACAAAAGCTTTGGATGTCCCACAATGCTTGATGTTAACTTCAAGTGCCAAATTGTCCAGGACAATCTCTAGAGTGTTAACATTGTTACAGTAACAGATCCCCATCCTGATCTGCAACAAAATGGCCAATGACCACTTGTAGAAGGCTAACAGATGTCAAAGAAACTCAGTCACAGAAGGTATCATTACTGCTCTCAGGCAAACCCCAATCAGCTATCGACTCTAAGGAGGGTAGCAGGGCCAGTAACGGAGACAAAGCAAATAGGGAAAATTGCAGGAATGTGGGCCAAAGTAGGAACAAAGTAAATATGTGTAAGCATGTTCATTGTCACTACCCAGAAGTACACATTCACTGTAGACAGCGGAAATTGACCACTGCCCATTACTTACATCAGAGGCTGGTCCCTTGTCAGCTCCAGGGCAAGAGAATGTGACAAATTCATGGCACCGCTTGTGCACAACAAAGCAGCAAACTGCAAAAGAGAAAATAAATTAGGAGAAAGGGAAGAAGAGAGGGCATAGGAAGAAAAGAAAGAGATGAGTAAACTTGGACTTCACCAAATAAAGGCTTTAAGCCAAAACAAACAGTAGCTTCAACTTCTGCCTCCTGTCCTTTGTTGAAGACATACTCTTGGCTACATCTGTTTGTATCTTGCACAAGCATTAGATTTCTAAAGTTAAACAGGGTTCAAAAGGTCACATATGCTCCAAATTATACTTCCTCAAAGATCCCTGGTCTTCTGTTGGCTTAGAAATAGAGTACTCTTTCTTAAATCAGTCACCAGGCAAAATAATTGGCTTGTGTTTAGGTTGATAATGCATAAGAAATATGTATCTTGAAATGTTAGAATCATGTGTCATAATATGAATTGAATGTAGAAGCAGAGTAAGCTGGAATGGCAAAAGTGTGCTCTACCTCACTGGAAGCAGCATCAATTAAGTGGAAGCATGGAAGGGATAGGCTACAGTGCTTACCTTGTTGCATTAGTTGTTTGCAACCAAATACATATAAATGTATATTTGGATTCAAGTGAGTTAAATGTATCCGTGTTATGGCTCCACTACTGGAGAATTTTGTCTACTGGATGAAGGTACAGTTAGGGAATATATACAAAATGAAATTATTTTTCTTGTTCAATCTTGTTGTATAGTTATTGTTCAAATTTCCTTTTGCAAAATCGCTAGACTTTTGGTTAATAGAGGACAGACACCATGGTTTTGGAATCACCTCAGAACGTTTCAAAAGAACAAGTTCAGTAAGTTAAAATAGAACAGAAAACCTCAAGGCCATCCCTAGTGATACAGTAGCATAGAACCACAATCATCAGTAGCTGCTAGCATCAGCAAATATACTTGATCCCTTAACTCAAGCTCTCACCACCATCTAGGAAGTACTCCTGCTGAACAATCCAGTCTAGACTAGTTCAAGTGTCTCCACTGAGCTACAAACTTACAGAAAACACATGTGGCAGAGGAATATACTAATTGTCATCAGAGAAATCACCAATCACATTTACCCCAAAACCTCAGAATATAGACACTAGTAAAGCAACCAATATGATTTCTCCAACAAATAAATTGCAAGAGGGTGAAAATAATAGGAGAAACATACATTCAATGAAATTTAAGAAAGATGTCAACAAATGCAGTATGTGGACTTTGCTTGAATCCTAATTTGATTGAACCAGTAGTTTAAAAAAATATGAGGCTTTATATGTCCATCAGCAGATGAATGGATGTAGAAAATGTGCTTTTTACACACAATGGAGCACTACTCTGCCACAAAGAAGAACAAATGGGTCATTTGTAGGAAAACATATGCAACAAGACTATAAATTCAAGTGAAATAAGAAAGACGCACAAGCTTAAATATTACGTGATCTCTCTTATAGGAGAAACCCAAAATATAAGAGCAAAATAAAAGATAGATAACAGGAAGCAGGGAGATTTTTCCAATGGAAACAGGATCAGGAGATGGAAGAAAGGGGGAAGGAGAGAAGAGAAGAGGATGAAAAACAAAATAAAATGTGCTATGTACATGTATCAACTCCCCAAAGGAACATAATCATTATGTACTACAAACACATACCAATCAAAAATTTTCAAGGTAAAAATTTTTTAAAATGAGGCTAGGTATCAGGAAAATGGATATACTCAGTTTTTATGACATTAAGAAATTACTAAAGTTAGGCAATAGACTTTGGGCACTGTCAGTTTAAAAATAGGATCCTTATCATTGAAGATACACCTTAAGTTCTTTATGAATAAAAGAATTGAATGGTGAGGTGTGATGGCTTACGCCTGTAATCCCAGCACTCAGGAGGCTGAGGCAAGGAGAATTGCTGTGAGTTTGAGGGCAGCCTGAACTGCATAGTGAAACTCTGTCTCAAAAAGACAAAAAGAAAAAAGAAAGAAGAGAAGAGAAGAGAAGAGAAAAGAAAAGAAAATTGAATTCAAGTTAGAATAATTCAGTATGCTAGGAAAGGCTGTTGATGAGAAACTTCAATTGTGATAGGTAATTATTGAACCTGAGTTATGGAAACACATGGGTTCATTACACAAACTTATTTTTATACATGTTCAATATTTTCTATAAATATAAAATTTTAAAAGAGACAAAGAAAGACTAAAAGAAAAAACGTGAGTCATAAAATGTGAGATGGAAGAGGGCTATAAACCTGAAGTGTGCTGAGTCTTAAATTGTTCTAGAGATTATAGACTCTTCTAGAGATTACATATAAAGTTAAAACAACACTGAGATCCCATCTCATCCTAAAAAGAACGGCCAAGACCAAGAAGTCAACCAATAACAAATGCTGGAGGGAGTGTGGGGGAAAAGGAACTTATCTCCACTGTTGGTGGGAGAATAGGCAGGTGCAACACTATGGAACTCAGTGTGGAAATTCCTCAAAACCTAGGATTAGAGAGAGTCCATTTGACCCACCTATCCTATGTCTGGGCATTTTCCCAGAGGAATTGAAAACATCATACCACAGTGATATATGTAAGCCTATGTTTATAGCAACACAATTTGTTATAGCCCAACCTTAGAAACAATCCAAGTGCCCATCAATCAAGGAATGTATAAAAAAAGCTGTAGTATTTTTATCAATGGAGTACTACTCAGCTATAGAGAAAGATTACATCGAGACTTTTATAAGTAAATGGACGTGGCTTGAGACCATACTCATAAGTGAAATAAATCATACTCACCCATGTAAATACTGTATTGTTTCCCTAGTGTAAGAAACTGAAAAAGTATGTATGATTCAAAATCTACAATAAATACTGTGTAAGGGTAAGAAACTGCTCAAAAAGGAAAAGTAACTGGGATAAGGCAAAGGAGGAAAGAAAGAAGGGAAAAGACACAAATTTGTATACATATACATAAGGTAACTAAAATGACTATACTACTAACTGTATTAGCTACTGGAAGAGAAACATTAATAGCCATATCATTAGATCAATTTTACATGCTGTATCTGTTATTCTAAGCAACCCTTTTGGAGGTAACAATATGCAATATTACAACCATTGTCAAATTCCTATCATCTTGTTTTATAAACTGTGCTGTTATTGTATTGGGTTTGTTCTTGTTGTTCGTCTCTTTTGCTTTTTGTTTTTCTTTTCTGTGTCTTTCTTCTCTTCAATAAAAAACACATGTAAGATATTGTAAGTTAAAATGTTAACAAGAACAGAAACACTATAATTTTTAAATCACTGTATAAAAAATCTAGACAGAGAAAATTTATAAAAGACCTTCTTCATGCCCCAGTCATACAAATGACATATATTATTCTACCTCTTCTTTTATATGGCATCACTTCCTCTTTAATTCATAGGTAATTTCTTGGATTCTGATGTGAAATGAGGCTCTGACTTGCCATTTCTTTTCAAATAAGTAATCGATTGTCCCAGCATTCTTGATTGACTAATTTATCCCTTTGCTATGGATTTCAAATGCCAACTTATTATATGTTCAATAGTTATATACACTGGAGTTTGTCTTGGAGCCTTCTGTTTTGTTCCATGATCTGCCTCAAAGTACAACAATAGGAGTTTTAATTATAGTAGCTTTACAATATGTTATATCTGTGCATAGCAAGTCTTCCCTCATTATCCTCTCTTCAAACATTTTCTTGGCTATCACTGCATGTTTATTCTTCCAACTGAACTTTAAAATCGTCTTAATCAAGATTTTAAAAATACTAATGAAATTTTTATTTGAACTTTATTTAAGCAAATTTTTATTTGAACTGTCCTTCAGACACCAGGATATTGATTGAAACTGTCTTAAATTTAGAAATAAAATTCAAGATAACTGATATTTTTATTACAATGGGTAATTCCATGAGAAATTGATTCTTCCTTTGTTAAAAATCTTATTTTATATCCCTCACTAGAGTCATTATTTTTCTCTATGTAGTTCCTGCATTTTCCTCATTTAGTACAAACTGAAGGATTTTATTTTTTTATGCTATTATGAACTTGATGTTCTTCCTATTCTGTTTTCCTCATTGTTTACAAATAACAAAGCAACCTTCCTGTGAGCCTGTGGCAGCCATGTATCCCAGAAAGAGTCCCAAGAAGAAATCAATCCCTTCCTGTGAGCCAGCAGCGGTTGTGGGCCGGGCCAAACCCTTTCTGTGAACCAGTGGCAGCTATGCTTCCCGGGAAGAGAACCAAAAAGAAGCAAACCCCTTCGTGTGGTCATTAGCTGGCCCAACCCCTTCCTGCCCCACCCCAACCCATAAGCAACCAGCTGATTCAAAGAAATACAGCCTGAGATAATAGCCACCAAGTAAAACAAATAAGAAAAAAAAAACCCTTAATGCCTGTATTGTTTGATTTACTTTGCAGGCCTAAAGCTAAAAGTACTATATAGTAACTACGTGGGATTTCCTTCTGAAGGCTGGTAGCGCTTAGTAATTCCCTATTACTTATTTTACAGTCCTGTATCATTTTCATAGTGTGGTTTTATAGTTGTTTTGTTTGATTTTACTATATCTGATGGCATGGGAAACTGTTTTGAAGACAACTAGATATATTATGGTAGCCATTGTTGATTTCCTATTATTGGGTTTTGAAATCCTGTATTACTTTCATTGTTTTGTTTTGATTGATTTTATTTTGTTTGGTCTTACTCTTTTCTTTAAAAAGAAATCAATAGAAGTTATATCCTGGTATGGCAACTTGACTGGATTACAAAACACTAGCAGATAAAGCACAGTTATGGGTATGTCTGTGCAGTGATTCCAGAGATGACCGACACACAGGTCAGCAAACTGGCGGGGCAAGATCCACTGTGGCTGTGGGATGGAATAAAAGCCAAAGAAGGAAGGGTGCATTTTGAAGAGCTCAGTTCTGCTTGAATGGGTACATCTGTCACCCGTTACCTGCAGGCATCAGACTTCAATTTCCTCCTCCTTACAGACTCATGCAAGCCACTCCCCAGGGAGCTTCCAGGACTTTG